TTCCTTTCCTTTCCTTTCCTTTCCCTTCCTTTTATTTTTTGGTGCTGGGGATTGAGCCCAGGTCCTCCTGCATGCTGGACAAGTGTTCTACCACTGAGCGACCCTCAAGCCCCTTCTTTTCAAATGTAAACTTTTGAGGCTATAAAACAACTTTTGAGGCTATAAAACATTAATGGAATTCTTTAGTTCCTTCCCAAAGGTTTTGATATATGGTATTTTCATTTAGTTCTAAATGAAAATTATTTTATTTTAAGAACTATTCCTCCTTTGAAAAGTAAGTCTTCAAAATATCCACTACTTTAAGAAACTCAGGGAGTTCAAAGAGGACATGACACAAAAGATAATGAAACTACAGTATCAACTAATCTATGTAGATGTGGGAGAAACAAAACATTTGAGGAGCTGATCAAAATGTTTCAAAACATAAATGACAAATTTACCAAAGATATAGATACTGTGAAAAGGTGCCCATCAGAAATCCTGGAGATAAAATATTCTGTAGAATTCATAAACAGAAATGACCTCTGTGAAGACCAGGGTTTCAGAAATTGAGGACAAAATGGAAATTCATGATGAATTACTTAGAGAAAACTTAAAAATGATAAGAAGACAAGAAAAATTCATCCAACAGCTACCAGATGACACAAAGAAGACTAACCCAAGGCTAATAGGAGCTAGAGAGAAATTAGAAGACAGCACACATGGAATAAAAAAATCTGTTTACAGAAACAATAATAGAAAATCTCCAAGTAGGAGGAAAGATCTCAACACACAGGACACCAAGTAATTACAGCAAAAAAGAAGCTCCCCTCAACACATCATAGTCAAAATCCCAGATGTTCAACTAAAAGACAGAATCTTAAAAGCTGTCATAGAAAAGAAAAAAAAATTACACGTAGGGGTAAACCCATTAGGATTATAGCAGGCTTTGCAACACTAACTTTAAAGGCCAGGAGAGATAGGAGTGAAGTGTTTCAAGCCCTAAAACTAAACAACTTTCAACCCAGACTAATATATCCTGCAAAACCATCTTTCAAAATTGATGGAGAAATAAGAACATTCCACGACAAAGAACACCTTAGAAATTTATGACCACCAAACCAGCATGCCAAAAAATTCTCAAGATAGCCAGAAAGAGACAGTGAAGCAACAAAGTGAGCCAAAAAAATCAGATGGAACAAGTACATCAAGCAACACAAGTAGTTAAATAAAAAAGGATAAAGAAAAAAGTTAACAACAGAAAAAGAATGCAACAACAGTAATAAGTCAATACCTTTCAGTAATAACTCAATGCAAATGGCCTCAACTCCACAATTAAAAAACACAGGTTAGCAGACTGGATAAAAAAACAAAAAACAAAAACACCCAAACTCCCCCAAACAGAACCCAGCCGTCTCATGTATTCAAGAAACTCATGTAACCCAAAAAGAAATTCATAGACTAAAAAACATCAAAGGGTGTAAAACAACATTCCATGCACTAGGACCTGAGAGCAAGCATGGATAGCACTTCTCACACAAAGTAAGCCTCAAGCTAAACCTGATCCAAAGAGGCAAAGAAGGTCACTGTGTGTTGGTTAAGGGAACAATTCAACAGGAAGAGATACCAACTGTAATTATATATGCACCAAATATCGGAGTTCCTAATTTCATAAAACAAACACTGCTGGATATAAAAGATCAGATAAACACCAACACACTCTTAATACCCCACTTTCACAAGAAGACAGATCAATGATCTCAACTCAGTGAGTTAAGATCAATGAAAGAAAAAAATCAATAAAAAAGTCAGAGTTGAGCCACACCTTTAAACAAGTGGACTCAGTAGATGGTACAGAATGTTCTACCCTACTACAGTGGTAGCGCAGTTCACGGGCATAATTCATTCCACAATTTGGGACAAGACGGCCACATTTGTGTTCAGGCGGGAAAGACGACCGTGGTTGTGTTCGTCACCTGATACAGAGTTTGCAAAAAACCACAACGTTTTGCCAGACACTTCTGTTTGTGAACCAAATTGTTCACAAAACTTCTCATGAGCCAAGTACTACTGTTTAATAGGTACACATTCTTCTCACAGCGCACAGAACTTTCTCCAAAATAGATGTCATAATAGTCCATGAGGCCTGCTTACACATATACAAAAGAAATCACCCCATGTGTACTACCATATCAGTGTACACTGAAACTGGAAATCAACCACAAAAGAAAACAAAGACATTTTATAAACATCTGAACATTAAATAACATGCTTTTCAACACTCAGTGAGTCAAGAATAAATCAAAGAATATATTAAACAATTCCTAGAAGCAAATGACACTGCCAGTAGAACACCCCAAAACCAGTGGACCACAATGAAAGCAGCCCTATAAGGGAAGTTACTGCAGTCAGTGATACATGGCAGAAACAGAACAAGTTCAAATAAGTAACCTAAATGTGAGCCACAAAATACTCAAAACACAAGAACAGACCAAACTCAAACGTAGTTTAAGGAGAGAAATCATAAAGAATAGAGCAGAAATGAACAAAATTGAGACTAAAAAACAATACAAAGACTCAATGAATCAAAGAGTTAATTTTTAAGTGAACAAAATAGCTAAACCTTTAGCTAAATTATGAGAGAGAGAGAGAAAGAGAGAGAGAGAGAGGAAATCATATCAATGGATTAGAAGTGAAAAAGGCTATATCACAATGAACACTGCTGAAATCTAGGAGAGCCTTGTAACTACAATGAAAAATCGTACTTCAATAAATTGGAGAAACTTAAGGAAATTGGCAGATTCCTAGACATATACAAATCACCCAAACTGAACTCAGAAGACATAAAAATTCTCAATAATCCAATATAACCCAGTGAAATTAAGACAGTAATTAAAAACAAAAGAAAAACCAGTGAAGAAAAGCCCAAGACCTGATGTTCATCACAAAACCTTCAGGGTTATAGCACAAATACTCTCCAAACTCTTTAATGAAATCGAAAAGGAAAGAGTATAGTGGTTTCTCAGTCGTCAAATGGCCCCCATGCTTGAACTTTCCACTATTTAAACAGTAAATTTTGAGAAAAAAAATCTGCTATGTGTTTATAATTTTGTTCAATAGTTGAACTGAAAATCTGACTTGAAAAAACCTGCATAGGCTGAGAGTGAGTCACGGGTTCTGTCTCACCATGGGCTCAAAGGGTGACGCTTCATTCTAA